CTGGGTGCCTCCCCTTGTTGGCTCACTCACCAACTTGCCTAAGATACAAATGTGCCAATAGTGCTTCATTTTATCCAAAGAGTTTTAAAAAAATAATCCTAAAGGTAGTTATAATCTCAAGACGGGATGTGGAGACTATATGCAATGTAGTATCACACGACTGTAAGTGGAGCACCATTGCCCATACAGAGCAAAGATGAATTATGTCTCTTAGGATGGAAGATGAGCAAATCTTCACCTTATTCTCAGCTTGAAGGTATTTTAAATTCTAGAGTTGAGAATATTTGTTCACACATCCAAATGCACATGTCTGGTCTGGGAAATCATAATGAAAAGAAGATGATGGCAATTTTTTTTTCTCCATCATTTCTAGATTAAATTATTTCAATCAGAAAATGGTCTCTTTCTTCACCTAAGGAGGTCACTGTTTCTTTATCCTACTCTTGTAGAGCCCACAATTCCCTTTTGGTACCAACTCAGGACATAGCATAAATCAGCAACATGTCCTTTCATGGCTTCTCCTGTTTCCTGCCTTTGCTTATGTACCTCTCTTGCCATAGCATGGCTGCTGCAGTTCCCTCCAGCTTGTCTCCCTTTGCCTTGGCTGCAGCACTGGTGTTTTGAACTGGTGTCCTCAGCACATGCCTTCTGCTGGACTTAGCAGTACTGCTGTGATACCACCATTTATTTGCACTTTCCCAGCAGATAGGGATAGATATAGAGATATATAGAAAGATATAAAGATAGATAGATAGATAGATAGATAGATAGATAGATAGATAGATAGATTATAGACAGATAGACATAGATGATAGAGAGAGAGATAATGGTGTTATGCCTAAAAGAAGAGTTTGTTCAAACCAACACAAAAATTTTCTCATTTCAGATATGAACCCAGCTGAGTCTGTCTTCTGCAGACTACAGTAACATCTCCGATAACAAGCTCAGTGACTTTCCCTTTTCTCTTGATAGATCACTCAAGAAATAAGCCTTATGGGAGAGAGATCAACAGTCATTCTGCATTTTGAGGATGTGAACAAACTTTCCAGGGTGATTTGTTTTCAGTCTCTAAATATCTACCTTCTATACAGTACCCTTAAGTGATACGTAGCTGAGATTTTTTAAACTCTTATTTTTCCTGAGTTGTGTAGGGAAAACCTGTTCAGTCCACATAGCTTTAAACCAAATTGGGATCAAAGTGCTTTATCGATCTGTCAACAATATGGTATTAAGCAGCAATCAGTGAAGTGCTGCATTCAAGTAGTAATGCAACAAGTAAACCTCCAGACTAGACACATTAATGTTAATGAACACTGGCAAATTTCTAAACACCCTCTGTAACAAATGCAAAAGAGATTTCTGAAATGCTGCAAGTCTGCCCCTGGCTACTCATGTGCATTGTGTTAATGCTCGTGAGCATCGACTCTGAAATAGATTCAGAAAAATAAAACCTTTTTTCCACTTGTAACCTTTCTGTGTGCTTGAGAGTGTTTTTTGGAGCTGACAAAACCCTGGTATTTCATGCAAATAGTGGTGTCACTTTTATTAAACTAATTGTGAGTTCAGGCAATAGAATAGAATAGGTTTAGATTACATATTAAGAAAAAAAACTGATGGCGTGCATGTCGATGGTGCCTGATGATTGCATTATTCTTTAAATGTCTTTCTTAGTACCCAGTATGATCTTCTCCATAATTTTTCAACGTACTGAATCCATTTTGCACATCAAGTTGCACACCAGTTCTACATCTCCACAAGAAAGGGACTGTTATAGTGCATATGTTGAGGTCTAATGATTCTACTGGACCCCACTGTAATTCAGGGCTTTGTGTTCAGTGGATTCTTTACCATAATTTGAAACTATTGACCTGAAACCAAAAAGCACCACAGAAAAGCATCTTCCTGGTATTTTAAAAAAGTGTATATTAGTGAAATCATAGATAAATAATGGAGTCTTCTCTGCATAACAAAGAAATAGTACTTTTATTAATTCATTTTTAATCATATGAACAGAGTTGCAGTTTGGGTTTTCAGTTAATTTTCATTTATTTGATTAATTGAAAAAAACCCAGATATATACCTGTAAAACTATTAGAAAGAAGAAATTTTTCACCAGGACAAGCAAGGCAATCATGTTATATGCTGAACCTTCAAACTTAATACTCCAGCTCTTGTACTAGGCCATAAATCCTGAGAAGGCAGTGAAATCAGAGATTCAAGGGAGAAACAGCATCTCACCTTGTTTTCACAGACATTCTACAGTTGTTGCAGAAACATCACTGTCTTTAACTGAGCAGCATTTCTGATTATTCTGTATTATTCCATCTGTTGTACCTGATTACTCTGCAGTTTTGGATGCTATTGGTAAACATTTCTTGGTTTTGACAAGTCACAGCACAGTTGATTTCGAGTAAATGCATCTCTCTGAATTCAAGATTTTATATTTGGCAACCACACCATTGCTCTCACTGCAATATAAAATCTGACAAAGAAATTGGTCAGTGCGACACTTTGGATGAGGAAATTTAAGGCAAGAGATACCACAAAGATACATCTGAGGCATACGTAAAAGTGAATAAAGAGGTTTTGCTTCCTTAAGAAACCAGGAGTTACAAATTTTGATTTTCAGTATAATTCTCAGTGATGTCTGTTCTAATAGACTAAGCTGCAAATTCTCAAGTATTCAGTAACTGATGTTAAAAAGTCAGATATTCTTTTTCCTTAACGACAGCCAAAAGCTAGTTTAAACTAGATGACTACAGTTAAACACAAATAAAACAGAAAAATACTGCCCATAAGCAATAACAATTTCTTGTTAGTGTGGACATGCTATGGTCAGCAATCTAAAAATATCTCTCATTTTTGTGGACAATCCATTTCAAAAGAAGCCAAGAGAATGACACCAAGAAAGATAAATACTGTTATGGCGGCTACTATAAAGAAGTATATATTCTCACAAGTTGGACAACAGGAGACTGCTAAATGTATTTTTTTTCTTCCACTCTCTCCAATTCAAAGGCTGCTTGAAATTCTTTACCCAACTTTTTTAATTACCAATCAAAAGGCAGGCAATGAATTGTGACTCTGGGTTTCCCAGAATCACCAAATGCTCTTTATACTAAACATGTTGGGAGGGTAAAGAACCGAAAACCTATTTATTCCTTCCATTACCAAGCACCACAAGTAGCCTGGACAAGACACATTTATGTTGAGCAAAAGCCAGGTGAAACAGTGTGCAGGTGGCACGCTTCCAGTCACCTGAGAAATCTTTGTGTCCTGACAGTGTTAATCATTGCATTAATGATCCAGGTGGAGGTGCTTAAAACTTTCACTTTTATAGAATAATACAGTCTTTAGATAGTATCTTTAGTAGTCTTCAGATAAAAAGCAGAATTCATGGGCTTCCTGTTGAAATTATGTTGTTTTTCTAAATTGTCATGGACCCAGAGGTGGGCATGTCTGTCAGTATTCTGCACATCATTGCTTAGAAAACCTATCCTATCCTCTCAATTTAGAAAAAAATCCTAGTTATATCTATCTTTTTTGAATGAGTTGTTGACTTACAGTTGGTTTTACACCTGCAGGGGCAGTTGAAGGCATAGTTGCTGGGGTTAAGCATTTAAACATGTGGTTAGGTATAAGACATAATTTAAATATCTTACATATTGCTGCTTTTATTTCAAATGCTGTGGCTAAATCAACAAACCCTAACCCATCTGCCATCGGTAATGATGGTGGTGATTCAATAGATGGCACTCCAGCATGGGAGTCATGTTTTTGCCTGCACCCAGCCCTGTCAGTCCCCAGCAGGTGGAGTGGCTAGGTCTGCACTGGCTGGGTGGGCATCGACTAGGGGAAGATGCTGGGGAACTACAGAGGACCTCTGAGAACACCTGGTTGTTCATGGTCTGAACAGCGTTGTGGTCTTGCAGGGAGTGAGTTACTCTTGTGCCATCCTGTGATGCCTAAAATGGAAAAAAAAATTCTCCAAACAATATTAGTACAGATAAGGTAGGGAGCAGTTCTTTAATGAAAGCTTTCAGGTGCATGGAGTACACAGGCACACACCCACACACAGAACTCTCACACTTTTATAACTTCAACTAATTACAACATCTAGTGGGTACATCCAACCTGAAAACCATTTTGCCCTTGGTACCATCCTCAGAACTGCCCTATTGGAGCCGCTCGAAGGGTTCTGGGCCCTCTATCTTGTTTCGACTAAAATATATCTTCTTATTCTGGTCGAGGTACGCATCCCAAACAGGATGTCCTTGCTAAAATATCTTTCCTTGGAAAGATTGTTAAACAGAAATTCATTGGAATGTTGCAAAACCGTGAGAAAAAATTAAGTAACTGTCTAAAGTGTCTAAGGTGAAAGAAAACTATACAGCTATATTAAAATCTACAAAATGACTAAAAATCTTTAGGCATCATCTGCTGTTAACTCTTCCAAGAGTTTCATGGCTAAAGGGACCTTAAGCTGTTGTGTTTTAACAGCAGATTGCTGAAGTCTGTTCCTCCCCTTTCAGAAACTGTTGATGCCTGGGGGGTGATGTTTGCGTTTTCCCACATAACTGCAAAGAATTCATAGCTGGTGTGCTGTGCTCCAATGACATACCTTTTGACTGCTCCATAGGGTGTGTTTTCCAAGCTACAGAATAGTAAGGATTGGGGTCAAATTAACAATGTACTGTTTCTCCATGTTCAGTGCTCCTCAGTAAATTTGCTGCTAATGCCCTCTCTAGGTACCGTATTCAAAGTACTGTGCACCATCTTTCTGACAACCACTAGTACCAAATCGTTCTTCAGGCGTATCGGCCCTTATCTTGGTGGACAACTTTGACGAGTTGAAAGGTGGGGCTTTGAGCAACCTGGTCTAGTGGAAGGTGTCCCTGCTCATGGCAGGGGGGTTGGAATGAGTGACCTTTAAGGTCCCTTCCAATGCAAAACATTCTGTGATTCTATTCTGTGATTCTTTGCCACTGTGACGTAGCATAGACAGTGCTGGAGAAAGAAGATCATGAAAGCAGCTCCTTGTGAAGCTCCACTTAGGATGTGCTTGTGCCGAGAATGGAATGACAAGCAGTGGCCAAAGAATTTCAGAGGTGAACAGTGACTTCCCTCAAGATGGTTCCAGACATTGACACCTCCTTCAGGAATCTAATTATGCTCATTCCTTTCTGTGACTAATCTATTTGCTGCCAGTAGATCAGCAGTCAGAGCTGCTGTCATGAAGATTAGTGCCTCCATTAAGAGGATGTTGTGTTCATTTAGAGGGAAATAAATGGACCACGGGAATGAAGATAGTAATGTAAGTCTTAAATATTAACGGCTTAAATATGGATCAGGGTTTGAATAAAGAGACTTCGATTTTTTTTATCTCATGGCAGACATGCAAGATCCATGCTGAAGTTTGTAAATGTATTTTTAGGATGAATGACAACTAAATGTTAAAGTTTAAAAGGATTAAATTAAGTGGAAGAGATATGTAAGATAACATGAATTAGAATATTAAAATCCCTTACTAAAGACATTGTAAAGGACTCTTCTATTCTGTAAAGGACTCTTCTATCCTGCCAATAGTTCTGATGAAAAAGAAAAACTTTTCAAACTGATTTTGGGAGAGTCATATTTACCTTCCTGCTTGTGATTTCATGGCTGCTAGTCACACTGGTGGTGATGTGATGTCCTGAAGATACAACTTACTATTTTCTTCATTGGCTTCCAAATGTCTTTACTGATTTTTGGGCAGGAGGCAGAAGCTGTTTAACTTCATCCAGGGCAGGTGTGGAATAGCAGGAGGGAGCAGATGTGGAGGAATGCAGACTAGCTGTACATAGTGATGTGCACAGTTTGCCTGCTGTGCCTACGTGCAAGAGCAACGGAAGAACCAGATCAAATGGTGGTAAACAGATTTAGTGGTAAACTTTCTCACCAGTTGGAAGTGTTGCCTCTGCAGAATACAAATATTTCAAATTAGTTAAAAGACTACGCACTGATAAATTACTACCTTTCCAATAAAGCTGTTGTGCTGAAACAGCCCTTGAAGCAGCACTCACTGAAACATTCCAGTTCCTTTTGCGGTAACATCAGTAAATGCTGGACTAGACTCACAGAGCTGACCTGCTGATGCAAGGCTGACAATGCAGTAAAGTGCCTGAGGAAAAACAGTGGAAAAAAATGACAGCACTTTATCCATACAGATAGAATTATTGGAATATATACTGGGGACGTTACATGAAAAGGACAGACATGGAGCATTTTGCTTTTTTTTTTTTAACACAGTTGCAAGAAACCTACAGTACCAATGCCATCACAGGCTTAATGCCTAGTCCCTCACTCTTTCCCATGATTAATAATAACTGCTGCCAAAATAAGAGATGCTGTATTTTTAAAGAGGGGCAAACTGGTATGATAGTGCTTTGGAAAAGCAAAACTGAAGTTTAAGACAATACTAGAGCTTGAACTAGTAGAGGACAACGTATGTACCTAAAGCCATGAGCACTGGAGTAGATTTCGAAGACAGAGTTACAAACTCTAGAGATACTCTCTGTTAGTGGAGAACTGAGGCTTAAACATCTGAAGCAAAACTGAGTTTCAAACATCCTGCTCTTCCTTAGCACCCTTCATATTCCTTGCCATCTGAGGCTGCTCAATTAGAGTGGCTACAGACTACCCACTGCTTCTATTTTGAATAAGCACAAAAGCAGATCCAACTTAATTTTTTTGTGTCTGACCCAGTCACATTTCACTATTAAGACAACTTGGCAGGCTCTCATTTAAAATTTATGCACTTAGTGAGAAACTGTACTTTCCTATACTTAGTGAGAAATGAATTCCATAGTGTCTGAGGCTGGTCTAAGTGGAGTTTGGTGTATCAAGGGCTGGACATTGCAGACATGAAAGAATACATGCTATGGAAAGGCATGTGAGAGTGACAGGTAAGGGAGAGTTGCTTATGTGCTCCCTTGAAATCTTAGTTCTGCCTGTTCCCCAGATATTACACAATGTATCTGTAATCAGAGTATAATCTGTATAAGGAAAACAGCATGCCCAGCTACCATGCTCTCCATTCACAGGGACATAGTGCTTTTTTATTATTTTATTTTATTTTGTTTTAGTATTACAAAAACTTTCTGAGAAAACAAATAAATTATTGCAAAAAGGCTTTTGGTTTTTTGCTTAACTGCGCTAATGAAGTGAGAGAGTGCAGCACAGTACAGCATGGAAATACTTACTTGAAATCACAGCAAGCGTGTGGCAGTCCCACTTCCCTAACTGAGATGAGACAGGAGGCATTACCAACAAATCTGAAGGTCAGACCAATGAGTTTTGTAAAAATTTAACTTAAAAATTCTTACCATTCTTCCCATGTTACACTAGTATCCAACATTGATTACAAGCTAATTAAAAATAAACCCGAATATTTTAGAATTTGAAGTCAGGAAGAGGGAATAAAGCCACGAGTGGAAACTAGAATCACTCAAATGCCCAAAAGCATGTTTAATTAAGTAACACACTTCAGATAGACCTTGACATTAGCTTTTTTTGCCAAGTAATATAATTTTAAAAACCACATGAGGACATTAAGGGCAGACAAAGCAATGATCTACACCACAGGGCTTGTCTACACAGGAAAGACCTCAGAACAACCACTGCAGAGTATCTGTTCTGCAACAGCTCCCCAAGGGGATATGTTTTTTTGCACTAACGATGCATTTGTGTGATTTAGCTTAATACACATGAGAAGTGAACTACGTTGAAAGCAAACAAAGGCATTCATCATGGAAAATAAGTGCATCTCCTGGAGGAACTGGTACACCATAACTGGTGGGCTCTCAATTCCGCACTTCAGATTGTTTCCCAGTAACCATCTTACACAGATCAATCCAAAGTGCACTACTCCTTCATTGTAAATGTACAAGTTGAAGGAAATGGAACAATAGACCACATGGATTTATGATGAGGTAATAGTTAGCCAGAAGCTGCTTGTGGTGCTGAGCTATTGCTGCAACTAATACGTTTAGTCTCACAAAGTCCAGGCTGCCAACTGCAAAGAAGCAACAATAGTCCAGCAGCACTCACACCCTCCAAGGCGTTTCTGTGGCCATAAATGGCATTGCAGGTGTTTCTAAGTCAATTAAGAAGCTGCTTTAAATGTACTAGTGAATACAGTATAATTCATATTGTAAGTTTAAATATTACATAGCAGTGACTGCTTATTCCACATAGATTTTAGAACTAGTCTGAAAAAAATAGCAGCATTTCTTCGCTGTATTCACTAAAAGATAATAGATATACTCTTCTAAAAGGAACAGAATACATAGTAAACAGGGAGGGCAAAGCCTGTCTTATGTGGCTGTACCAGGAAGTAGGAGATACCTGATCCACCTGACTTACTGTTGAAAGAACTAAGCAAGACCCCCTAAAATATAAGAGGGAATTCTGAACAACAGATAGTTTAGCTCACCCATCTGCTTTGTTGAACAAGACAGCTGGTTCAGTAGATTTCAGCCATAGGTACTTGTAAAATTTATTCGCAGCAACAAGGTATTGATATAATTAAAAGTGACAACCACTGACATGTTAAATACTGTAGTTAGAGGTTACCTGTGTATAAGAGTCATATCATCACATGGGAGTAGTATCATTCTAACTATCACAGAATCACAGAATCACAGAATCACAGAACATGCTGAGCTGGAAGGGACCCACAAGGCTCATCAAGTCCAATCCTTAGCCCTGCCTTCCTCATGTCCACAGTTGAGGTTTTGCTGCCACTTTTCCTCCTGTCAACAGAGATTTTAAACTCAATCTCCTCGTGGTCGCTGTGGCCAAGATGTCCACCAATCTCCATTTCTCTCATGAGATCCACTCTGTTGACAAGCAGTAGATCAAGGAGGGCATCTTTCCAAGTTGGCTCCCTTATGACCTATTCCATAAAGTTGTCATCCAGATTTTTTAGCAACCTTCTGGCCCGGGTTGTACCAGCTGTGTGATGCTCCCAGCTAATTTCTGGCAAGCTGAAGGCTCCCATAAGGACAAGAGCAGTAGACTTGGAAACGTCCCTTAGTTCCTCAAAGAATAATTCGTTGGCATCAGCATCCTGGCTGTGAGGTCTGTAGCAGACTCTCATGATGACAACCACATTATTTTTTTGCCCCTTGATTCTTATGCAGAGGCTCTTAACTGTGCCATTGCCAACTGTGAGCCCCATACATTCCAACTCTTCTGTTACACACAGTGCCACCCCTCTGCCTCTTCTGCCCTGCCTGTCCCTCCAGAAGACCCTGTAACCATCCAACAGGGCACTCCAGTCACAGGTCTCATCCCACTAGGTTTCACTTATGCCAATGATGTCAAATCTCTCTGGGAATGGGCCAAAGCAGGTGTGTCTAAAATAATAAATACTTGTCAAAGATTTCACTAAATTGGCATTAGGAGAGTGTAAGCTTATGATTGTGCTGAGGAAGAGCATAAGTTATACTAAGGTAACATAGCTTTAAATCAACATAATACATTAATAGTAGGAATTGTACCAGTATATTTATTCTGGTAAAAAAATACCGCCCTAAACGGCACCTACGCCAGCACAAACCCTGCATGTAACCAGGCCACAGGGCCAAGGGGTGATAATGGCAGGGAAAATCCACCACAGGAGCAAGCTCCCATTGTTCCTTGTCCTGAGAAATCCATGTCAGAACACTGGGAAAGCAAGGTGACAGGCTTTAGCTTAAAGTTTTCTTGCCTCCTAAAGGAGATTGTATGCTCTGGCATTTACATGAACCAACAGCAGTGTCAGTGAAACTTGGCTAATGCACAATAACTTGTTCAGCTGCCACATCTTTGGCAGAGGCGTAAGCCCTGAGCCTTTGCTGTCAATGTACCAATGGGAAATGTTTGTTTGGTGTGTGACTAGAACAAGCCCTCCAGCTGTTAGGAAAAGGGGTCCCTTCCTCAGTAACCCAACCACCTCCAGTAATGCCAGACCCTGTAAATCTTGGTGTTTCAAAACCTGCTTCTCCTAACTGCCTCTCACTTTCTTGATCCTCTAACTCCATTGGTAGACACCTGGCTGCAACTTCTCCTAAAATATTCACCACCAACTTGACCCCTCCCATCTGTACTCATCTCAGAAAAAAGCCCGTCAATCCAAACACCTTTCAGAATGACTAATTCCTCCCAGCTTCTTTATTGTCACCCCTGGTCCCCATCGCTTCAACTTCCTTCTGCCTGAGGGGAACAAAAAGTTACCTTAGCAGGTCAGTGCACAGACACTGTCTAGAAGTCAACTGCAGAAGTCACCTCACTGGATGCGACCCACCTGCCCCTCAGTCTTGGAGTACCATGAGCAGAAGAGGCAAATTTCCAAGACTTCAAGAGTGTGGCGAGAACTGTGGGCTAATCTGCCAAAGGAAACAGATGATCATTTGGAAACACACATGTACAACCTGCTGAAAGCAGGGGTCCCTCTAACGTTTATAAAGAATGGCTAATTTTTTAAATTTTGTTTTATTTTTCAAAACTTGGAATAAATGGTACATGAGAGTTTATCACAGGTTTCTTTCACCAAAATTAAAACCAGAAAGGTATGTACTAACTGAGAGTATTTGGACTGAGAATATCACAAGCCTCTTCTTATTCCACCCTTTTTATGAATGTATCAGGACAATGGTGGTAGTACACAGTAGTCCACATAGGTACTGTCTTTTGTATAACATGCACATTTTCTGTGCTAACCAAATACCAAATGCCAGCTCATGGCAAAACTACCGTTTTATAGCCAGCCTGACCCAGTCATCTTCCACTTGAGGTGTAGAATTGCCCTCAGCTGCTGCCCTGACCCCTGGAGGCAGAGGTGTTCTCAGAGGACAAGTTAAATCCTAGGCAATCTGAATTGTCTAAAAGAGATGTTCGTATCTGCCTTGACTACAAACATCCAAGTAACGAGTATAAGCAGGGAAAATAGGACAGCCAGCTCCTTGGCCTTCACGCCTTTCATCCCAGTAAAAAGGGACACTAATAGGAAGGGAAACTGGGAAACACTTATCTGGGATCCCCTTCAAGAGGAAGATTGTTCTGGTCTCATATTCTGCAAGAAACCAGCACACAACCAGTAAGAAACTGCAGATGCAAAACCAGTGCCTGAGGCTCTTCCAGTCAACCACCGCTTTATGCTATTATTACCTTCTCTGAAATAGTCACAAATATCAAGCCAAATTTGAGGGCTATATATTTTGTTACCGTAGGATTTTCCCTGGATGTTGATTTTAATTTGTCAGTCTGGAGGATTCATGAAAGTAAACACAGTGGGTCTATGTTATTTTATTAAACCTAACTCAGAGAAACAAAGTTAAGCTGAATAAAAATTGCCTAGAAATAAAGGGAGTAAACAACAAAAACCTTGTAAGAAGCAAAGTTAGAGAGGAAAAAGGAAAACAGAGTCTGTATTACTTTGCTTCTGTCAAATGTGTAAAGGAGGAGTCCTTTTAAAATATTTCTTTTTCTTTCATCCTTGCTTATTTTTACTGCAGCATATCATGCAAGTCCCGGCTAGACAACTCTATGAAACACCAAGTGAATGGCAGTGAATCACAGCTCCTTCTGATGGTTTTCAGTTTTTAATAAGGCATTTGGCTTCCACTCAAGTTCAAAAGATGGCATAGGATTTCTTTAATAATCCTTTTTTTCTTGTAATTTTCTTCTTCACATGAGAAACATTGAGGTCTTTCATTTTACCATGTCTTCAGATCAGATATAATACAGAAAACTGGAATTACTTATGAGTAAAAAAGAAAAAAAAAGAAACAAAATAAACAGTCCTTTTTCGTATTACATGCAAATCCAAATAATCCCCTCCCTCCCAGAGTCTGACCCAATTTTGCTTGGGCAGACTTTGTGCTTCTAAGCCAGGCACCTTTGAGACTGCAAACTTAGCAGATACTACTGAATATGAGAGCACAGCACTTGCAAAATCAAGTTTCAAGCTACTGCAGTTATGGCACTAAAATGTCCAGTGTACTGGCAACTTGCCTGTTCGAACCAAAGTCCTGCCTTAGCCATGCTCACATAAATGGACAAGCCAAAGCCAAGAGTTTTATTCCTTGAGCAATTTTAGATATCAGAACATCTGCCCAAACTGCATGAGGGAACATCCTATTCACAAGTAGGAGTATTTATCACCATACATACTTGGAAAATGGATACAAATTATTAGCAAGACATCGGCAAATGTGTGGATTTCATGCTTTATTACAAATAAGCTACAAAGAAGTCACTACTTGCCAAACACAATGTGACATCACAGTTGAGGGACAACTTGTTTTCCACCACAAAACACAAACCAGTAAGGGGAAATATTTGCTGAGTTCTTTCTTTTCTTCTTCTCACTGTTTTCTTAATCCTTACACTTTCAACAAGATGAAAACACCAAGCATCTTTACTAAGAGTTTTTCAGAACTGCAGTCCTTGCCACAACTCCTCTGCACTCTTTATTGATGCTTCCTGATAGTAACACCTAAAATCCCACTGCAGCCTAATGCTGCATAATTTCCTCCTCTCTTTAGCCACAGAAAGGAAATGATAGGAAAATCTTAAAAATATTTTTTTAAATTTTGTGTTCATAGTATGCCATGTGTCTTTGTTCTTTAACTCTAGTTCTCTAGTTCAAAGCAGTGCACTCTGCAAATTTAAGAATCTTTCTTTTTATCTCTAAGTTTTCATTATATGATCAAGCAGTCAAGATCCAGAGAGTCCTGTAGCATTTTCTGAATGCAGAAATTTATTCAAATGTAATGAAATAATCACTCTGTGACTTAGGATAGGTCTATATTAGCAAGCAGCATGATGCCAACAGGAAAAACTCTGCAGTGCAAACCAGCTTCTGTGGAGGATGTGACCTTCACCCTCTGCATGCTCTGGAAGGTTTGCTCCAGTCTGGCTTCATCAGTGATTGGAGTGCAGCTTCTCGTTATGTTTCAGGTGAAGTATTTCTTATGTGTCTTCTGGGGCTGCTCTGCAAAATTAATTAAAGAGCAGGAAGGGAAGACAACCAGAGATTTGCTTCGAACAATACATACCTCGTCTGAAACAAAATGTTAATGTAGATGAAGGCACATTTAAGTTTATCCATAGGAATAAATGGATGGCCATAGCTGTGGTAGGTTTAATCTGAAATAAATCAAACTGATGTAAAGATAGCAGAATAAAACCTTGTTTCAGTAGAAATTTTGAGAGCTGTTGTGGAATGAAGTTCCCCTCCTTTTTGCCTGAAACATGGAGAAAATACTTTACATAGATTCAATAACTCCCTAAAGCGCAATTAGTTTATCACAACATTGAGAAGGAAGTTCTTGGCATAGAGGAAGAAGTCCCCTCAGACCAGCAGGTCAGCCAAGGCCAGCAGGAGGCTGTATCACTCATACCAGCACCACAGCTGCCCCCTGAGGAATGCTCACAAAAAACCTTGAAGCAAATGCATTCTTGGACATCATCTCTGGACACAATTCTACTGGCACAAAAAAACTGGACAAAAAGTAGCATGAGAACTTAACAGAAAATGCACAGGAATTTCCCTTATGCAAATTCTCATCTGTCAACAGAACTAAATTGGCAACACCGGTTCTCTGGTAGCAAAAACTGATACATTGACTAAACTAAGCTATGGAAAGAGAAATCCACCCCTTTGAGGAAGTTCATCAAGGAGGTCTTGGACAGACCTTCCACTTCAGAACCACAAAATGTAGATATTATGATGATTGGCATCTGGTCCTTTTGATGCAAGTTTCCTATCAAAATAGGGAGGAAGAAAAGTCCTGTAGGAGCATCATTCATGTGTTCATTCTCCTGCTTGTCACGGTCATCTTAGTAAGGCCTGATGTCTTTCAGTTTCCATTCTTTACTAGAATATATCTGCACACCATATGCTTATGAAAAGTGGTAATTCAGTATGGCATTGAAGTGAGATAGGACAAAAACAGTCTGGAAAAGGAATTAAGGAATCAAATCCTACAAATAAGTGGTTTGGAAGCTTGAACAGACCTTTTTTAAAAAATAAATTGTTCCCTTCATAATCGTTCTTTAGATTTTTTTCATTAAGAATGCTTGCCAGTTTAGCCTGTCTTTGCTAAATTTAACTATATCTAATTATGATTTTCTTTTGTTGGCAAAATTGTGTGGCTTAGAGGTAGCACTATTCACTTTTATGCAGAGAATACCAATTTTTATAAATCTCATTGATAATATTTTTTTAATACTAGAATATAAGAAAAAGTGATTTCTGAAAATGAGTTTATACTGGCAATCTGCAGAGAATGTTTTAATTACCAGTTAGCCTCATTCTTCCCTTTCATTTCAGCCTTCTTCTATGCTGGCCTTCCTCTGTGAATCACTTCTTGGACAGGGTGGTTACTCGGTGCCACTGCTCAACACAGCATCTGACAGTAATAGCAAAAAAAGTGAAGTTCAGTCTTGGCGCTTTCACCATCCTACCACAAAATTTGCCACTACAGCACAAGTGCCACTCGGAGCACTGTCCACACTCATATGGGGTTTCCACTGCCAGCGATGGTGAACCACCACTACAAAAAGTGGCAAATATTTTGTGGAAAAGGCTGATGTAGCCACCTCATGTAATACCCCCCGTAATTCTCTGTACTCTGTTGCTGTGATTCAGTAGTTATTAATTTTGACCTCTACCTGTTTGTGTAGAGTTTTGCTTAAGGACTTTTATCAAATGAAAGCTTTGGGGTACTCAAGGCAAATTAATAATTATTTTCTTTGAGAATTTTTGTCTTAGAATTTGCTTCATATTTTCATATATCATGGGAAAAATTAACCCAACTGTTTACAGAAAAAGGCTAAGAAAAGAAAATATTATGGGGTTTCGGTATTTAGAAATAAAGTAAATATGTATTATGGTATTAAAATTATTTCTTTTTTAAAATAGGAGAAGTTGCTGATTCTTATCAGTACATAGATAAGTAAAGATCATTCAAGCTTTTCAGAAGCAGAAACACCACTTCTTCTTGTAGCAGAACATTGACTCTTTTCCGTGCATTCTCATTAGTGGATATTTCCCAAGGTGCTTTCATTTATTCCTCTTAATTTCAGCACTAAGAAAGAGCCTCAAAATCAAGAGACAAGCATTCTCCCAGATAAATTATTTCTCCCAGCTTGCTAAGCTCCTTTTCATAAGCCAGATTCCAAAGGCTCTGGAGATGTTGGCATAAAATCACCGTACTATTATGAAGAAGATCTCCAAACATTGGCATATGATGTTATGTATTTCAAATCCCTCTGGTATCTTTAGCATCTAGTCAGTAAGGAAACAAAATTACTGGTATCTTGGTTTCCTGAGAAATCAAGTAAAGCTGAAAATAAACCTTCATGGTAGATTTTATTCAGTCTTCAAAAAAATTTAAAAATTAACTTATCAGTCATGGAGTCACAGAATCATTTAGGTTGAAAAAGACCTCCAAGGTCATCAAATTCAACCTTTGAGCCATCACCTCGTTGTCAACTAGACCATAGCATTAAGTGCCACACCCACTCATTTCTTGAACACCTTCAGGTGTAATCTTATTTTCTTCCCCTCCTGAACCGAAAGGCTTCTAAAAAGCCCCAGTAAAACCTGTGCTTTCTTCATTCTGAGTTAGGTGCGTGATTAGGGTGCAACATCATAAAGCACATCGGGTGCCTTCAACTGAGGCGTTACAAGGTGTAAACATCAAAGAGCCCAACTCAATCAAGGTGACTTGATCACAGGATGCAGATCTGATCAGGATGCAGATCACAGGGAATCTCCACGCCCTGTTCCATCAGCGGGGCCTCAGGACTCAGCACCCCATACACACATCTCCCGAGCTTTTGCGACTAACAAAACCTCTGTTTGAGGAAAGCCATTCCGTGCGTCCCGAGTTTCCAGGGTGCGGGCAGGGCGGGGGATCGCGGCCCCGCCCGCTGCCAGTGACGCGCCGGTTTCTCCCGATCTGCGTGTGGCGGCGGCGGGAGCGGCGGGTGAGCGGGGCGGCGGCGGGGCCTGGGGGTGTCAGCCCCTCCGGACAGCCGGGGTCATCGGAGCGGTGCGGGATTGCTGGGGCTCTGTGTGTGTGTGTGGGGGTGTCTGTGTGCAGCTGGAAGCGGCGGGGCGGTGGTGTAGGGCCGCTCTCCTCCGGTCTCGGGTGACGGTGGGGCGCTGCCTGAGCTCGATCCCTTCGGCCGTGGTCCAGGCAGCGGCTCGAGAAGCCCCGGTAGGAGCCCGCTCGCCGGGCTGCCCGCGGCGGCGGCGCTCGGCTCCACCCGGCCCTTTGAAGTGTGTTTGTTCCCCTGGTCCTTGATAGAGGGCTCCGCCGCGGTTTACGGCGGTGTAAATGACAGGTTTGAGCAGTGGCTAACGCCGGGCAGGGGGAAAATTCGGTTTAAGTAATTACTAATCTTGTTTTAAACCGCCGCTTTTTGTTTCGCTATGGCAAATCCATCGCCTTTGGCAACTGTGACTTTTACAGGGATGTGCAAAAGCTCCGCGTGTGTGTATATGTATATATACACACACGTTGTTATTATTGTGTATACACCTCACGCATATTACTTTATATACTAATATACAAATCTATAATGACACCTGTATCATGACTTCATTTGTATTAAATGTATTCATATTCAATGTACTATTTTCTTAGTCAGGAGACTGCCTTGTTTTTAAATTCTGTGTTAATCTAAATTAAGCAGCGCGAGAATTTTTAGGTGCATACGAAGACAGTCTTTGGAAACAGAGCGTGCAATTAAAACTAACCAATTTATAAAGCAAAGGAAGTTCCAGTGACTGAGAATTGGTGGGTTTGCCATGGGATACGTTCTGGAGTTGGGCACAAGAGGCACAGGGGCAGCTGCCTGTGCTTTTTCTTGAGGCGCCTGTGTTTGCTGTTTGTCTCATACACACTCACTGGGATCATCCCCGTGGAGACAGACAGTCGCTATCGGATCAGCACAAGAGGCTGGGTGTTCTCACAGCCCTTCAAGGATGTGGCAATTCTGAGTAAATATTGCCTAGTTCTGCTGGCAGTGTCGAAGGGATAAAGGGAGACGGAGGTGTGGAGCCAGGCCATGGAGGATCAGGGTCTGGCCCGCTCGGGTGTGTTTGAGGCTGCCACCTGGCACGTGCCCACGTCACCCATTGCCCAAGGGAAACAGCGGCTGGAGGTTTCATTGCCCACTCTGCTTCTCACATTGACAGAAATAGCTCAAGTGAAGGGAAAGGTCTTTCCGTTTGTGCTAAGGACAACTGAAACCGAAAGTAATGCAAGGCAGGGCTTTCCTGAATGACACAAAACTGGACTTCCTTTAGAAAAGTGGAAATGCCAGTGTTTTCTGTGTGTAGAAGATGCAAATTATAGTTATGACTGATTTAGCCTAGGGTATTATTTATGATGCTTGACTTGAAATCCAAGTGTTTCTTGTTTACCATGTATATTTTTTGTTGACTCTAAAGAGTATTTACCTTTTAATGAATTTAAATTTAAAAATCTTGCATTGGTACACCATACTTGTATTCATATAAATAGTTTTAAGTATTAGCTTTATTATAGATTATTATTATTATCATTATTACTTTAAATTTTATTTGGAAAATAATTATATTTTAGTATTTTTTGAAAAAGGAGAAAAATGTTCTGAAAATATTACTACTAAAATGTAAAGATTTGTGCTCATGTACCATTGCAAAACAGTAGTTGCCAGCTTGCAGATGCGCTTTTCTAAAATTAGCTATTTTATGATAGAATCTGCTGTAGTAGTTTTTATATTTGAATAAGATAGTAATGTATTTGAACCATGTGGTCAATTTATTTATTCATTAATTATGCAATTAATTGGGGATATTTGTGGTACAAACAGTCAGGGATAGTTCAGTAGAAAGCTGGAGTAGCATCACTTCACAGTGGTACTGTGTTTCATGAAATACTACCTCGATCCTCTCTCAGCAGACTTTAATTTTTTTGGTTTTCCCTTGTTCCCTGCACTGCAGGCAGACCTGTATAAATATTGCCTTTACTCATCGAGACCTTTCTCTCTCATCTTTTTATACACTTAGAAGTTGTTTTCAGCTGTGCTTTTCCACATTAACTCCTGAAGAACAGCTGTTCTCAGGCAGTGTCATTAACCAGCCCTGGTGTACCTGCTTAAGCTGATTCTGTGATCATTGCATGCCCGCAGGGATGTGATGCTTTTAGCGCAGATGCAGCATACAGGTCAGATGTCAGTGGTGCCCTGCTGGCACTGGCTCCAAATGTCCTGGGACTTCCCTTCCTGAGCACAGTGCCATACAGTGCAAAAACTACTGAGGATTTGGGTCAAACTGTGTCATTCTCAGACATAAGAGGAAGTGGAGCATTAAATCAAGCTAGCAATTGGTAAACATGTGATGTGACTAGTGCAAAGTAGTACCACTGACCAGATGAGGACCAGAACATGATAAGGCTGAAGGCTATGTTCCCAGAAATTTTAGAGTTCATGCTGCTGCTCCTGCATGTGGATGTCTTACAGAATAACTTTTTCCACCCAGAAAAATGTTGTATCAGTCATCAGTTGAAACACTCCTGTATCCTGTTTCTAGCTAAGCAACCCTCGAGCACCTTTCCTTCATACTTCCCTCCTTCTTCCCCTGGTAGCTTATTTATCCCTGCCATAGAGCAGCATTGCCTTTGGCCCACGGGGCTAAGCCTGCTGGTACAAAATGTGCTTGCTTCAGTGTGGTGTTCCCCTCTGGCCACCCATCTCCTGATCCTCTGATCCTGTGGAGTGAGAGATAGGGTCGAGGGTATCAATTCAGAAGGTAGGGCCTTTCTGACTGTAAAGGGCTGAATCAGTCTTGCAGCATCATTTTAGTCAGTTTTTGCTCAGTACTTTTCCAAATTGTCATAATTTCAGGTTACTGCAACCTTCCCTGCTTTTATTTTGCAATTTTGTAATTTCATCATATGAAAGAAGGAAACACTTCTCTGGCAGGCTGATTTAAAAAAAAAAAAGCAAACAAAAATCCAAACGGAAATAAAAAAACAAACCCCACGCTATAATAAATCACAAAGCAAACATTTACTCAGCAGGATGGACTGCTAGGGGTGTTTCTTGCTTCCTGGAAGTAGGTAGGTAGGATAAGACAGATGACGACTTTGGTGTATCATATCTCTGCAATGTGTCACATGGATCTTATTTCCATGTGTATGATATGCAACATGCATAAGCTTTTGGCTTTTGTAAACAGACAAGTAAAAGAGAGCTCATTAATTTAGGATATTGTGATTTTTCTTTCTTCTCATTAAACATTTTGCATATTTTTATTATCTAAAAAAAAAAACAACCCCAAACCTCAGTGACCTTTTTGTTCTTCTATACTAAAGATACAAGGGGGAGGGTATAGCTGTGTCTTCTACAGGAACTTCCTGACTTCATGGAAAGATAATTCTTGGAACAGAGAAGCAAATCATGCTACATGACTATGTGCACAAGTTTGGCGTGTAATGTTTGGCTTTGGATCTTTGTAGCATTGCTTGCTAAATCTCTACACAGAACTCAAGAATGGAAACACCTTCCATAAGCATTCTTCTTCCCCAGCTTAGAGGAAAAAAACAAACCCAAGGGAATCCTTGTGTTTACGAAATGTTCATGTTTTGTATAGAGATATTGAAGAACAAGGAAGCAAAAATAAAAAGCTTATCATGTCACTTCATTGGTGGCTGCAGGTGGCTCACAGAAAGCAGCCTGCCACCGTGATTTCCTTGTTGGCAGAAGCTCTCACTGAGTCACACACTTGGTCAACAGCTCTCTGCACTCTTAAAATCGAGCATCCGTGGGAGGGAAAGAACAACCAGAGAGACTGCAAAGACAGCTTGGAGCTGAAACCACTTGCAACAGCCCTGGCACAGACCAACCCTCATGGCTGGAGATGTTGCAGATGGAGCAGAGTCTCCTGAGCAATCCTTCCCCAGTGCATGTAGCACCAAAGTGCTGCCTGTGCAGTGTCCAGCAGCTTGGGCATGGATCGGTTGCCTGCATGTGGGTGACTGGTGCCTTTCAAGGTGACCATCCAGAGGGGTCCAAGACACCTTTATGAGGCTGGCACCCTGACACATGACCTACAGTTGATCCCCCTTTTCTTGGGGGGAGCAGCTAAAGAGTAAGTAGGACACCTTGTGAGCACCCACAAAGACACACAATATTCATGTCTAGCTGTCTGAATCCTACTTGCACAGATTTCTGCAGACCAGGGGGAACAGTGGTAGTTTTAATGGAACATAGTGCCATGATATAGTCACAAATGATCCTGCATTTCTCACAGTGTTTCTCCAGGGATCCTCTTTCAACTTAGAGAAGTTCAAAATAACAGTTATCTTCTCGAGGTCTACTTAGTGATATGTCTTCAGAGAATCCTTGAATGTCCTCAGGGCTCCTGGTTTCAGAAACCAGTTTCCTTTCTGACTTTGTTGGGCATGTTCTTCACAGAGTGGGCTCTAAAGGAATCAATAGCCCACACTGTCTGCCAGCCTTGTGCTGGCCCTGGACTTGCAAGGTTGTGCGTTCAATCCCCATGTGGGCCATTCACTTAGGAGTTGGACTCAATGATCTTTGTGGATCCCTTCCAACTCAGAATATTCTGTGAATATCCTTTGGTACTTAAAGGACAGTCACATAAATAACGTACATACTACATTCTTTCCTGTTTTCTTCTGTTTTGCTGAAAGTCTACAGTTGAGCAGGGTATGTCTTTGGGTAGATGCCGTGCTCAGGGTGTCCCCAGTACACGGGCACTGCACGGTGTCCAACTGGCACCTCAGTATGATTTATTTCAAACTGTCTCCTAGTATGGCAGATGAGTTCCTCAACAGACATGAACCTTACAAAAAACCTTTGCAAGTCAGCAAAGTACCTGTGAGGTGCATGATTGGTTTGAAGGGAGTTTCTTTTTGCTCTAGCTTCTTCGTGTGACTGGCATTACAGATTGTCACAGCGCTGATAAGCAGGGT